GGCCAATTTCTTCCGAAAACTTTTCACTCACAGAAACAGGAATTTCCGACAACTGAAAAAAAAAAAATCGTTATTTCTAATATCACTCAAACTGCAGGAGTTCATCATAAGAAGCAACTTCATTGTGTGACTTTGAAAACTTCTCTTCTCTAGTGCTGCGAATGAGGTTCGTTTAGGCTTCAAAAATTTTTCCCAGTAAAATTCAAGGCAGCATATTACTAATATTAACTCCCTCTAAGAGTTACGGACACTCAGAAATGTTCCGAGGGGTGCAAGTGTCAATAGCAACCACTCGCTGGTAAAGTTGGCGGTGGGACCTACTTTTGAGGACTGCTTAAAAGATAGCTGATGGCGAGTTTAACTCACTGGCATATGCCACTTCATAAACTTTCTCCAGCAAAATTCGAGGCAGAATATTAATAGATTTGCTCTCTCTAAGAGGCGGAGACACCAAGAAATATTTCGGAGAGAGCAAGTGCCAATAGCAACCACTCGTTGGCAAAGCTGGCGATGGTCCCCGCTTTTGAGTGTTGTTTTTTAGAAGCTAGCTGACGATGAGTTTGGCTCACTGGCATAAATGACAGTATCAATTTACTATTTGAGGCGAATGAACGAATCGTAGGTGGTGTAGTTACTACAAATTATTTCTTCCATTATCATTCTTTTTTTGTAACTTACATTTTCCGCTGTTTTCTTCTTTTTTTGCCCCGTATATGCGCTCACAAGTTGACTATGAAAAAGTTGTCGCATCAACGATAGCGCGCACATTGCTTCGGCAGTTTTCTTCGATGAACCTTGTGCTCGTGCCGAAAATTCTGTAGAAGGAACGATAAATTACGCGAAATGTGCAAGAATTGGAAAAATTTCCTAATTAAAAAATCAAATTTCAACATGCAAATTTTCTTGAAGGAAGAATCGATGGCTTTGTGCACTTCTTGACTGCTGTGAGTGTTGGCAATGTGCCATCATTTCGATAATTTCCGAGTTCTGTTCTGTTCGCCGAGGAAAGTGAAGCATGAGTGTCGGATTGACTTGGTTGAAATGAGACCCCAGTCTCAAAGCACCCTGTGATCAGTATTTGGATTGATATACAAAAACCGGTGTATGCATGAGTATATA